TTAATAAACCGATGAAGCTTAAATACAGTGTCAACATTCTGAGCCTACTTTGCATCGAAGGAAGTCATCAATAATAAACGACTTTGGAAGTTCGAGTCAAAAGGCCAAACTCGACGGGAAAAGTTCGCCGGAAAGTTTGTGGTAATTTTTCGGAGCCGATCGCTGATAGATTAAAATGTCCCGTTTAAAGGGGATGGAACAGATTTTTTCGGGATTTACATTTTGGCTTCATCATTGAGCAGAGTGAAACTCATTAATTACAATTGCCGGCACTGTTTGGGATGCTCAAAAATTTCTATCTTATCCGAGGCCTAAAAATAGCCAAATTTCCACTGTAAACTCAATCAAATTTGTGTTTGTTTTAATTAGTACCCTTATTTTTCTCAGTGATTTATCGCATCACGCAATTGTAGAAGGACCGAAAAATGAATCATTTCGGTTTTATTATTGTAAAACGCGTCGCACGCAAAAGTGTCAGCGGCGCCATGTAATGGTATTTTTTTACTAGAAAAAACATGAAACCGACTGTTTGCTTATTTTAGGTAATTAGCGAGGCGTGCTGGCATAAATAATTACTTTTTGCTTATCGTTTCGTCTTCTTTTTCCAGCTGTGTCGTTTCAATTGTCCAACTTTTTCCATTGATTAACATCTGCCAAATGAACGCTTGATTGAAAAACTTTCTCAAAATTTGCTCACTTTGGATGCGGAATTTGTTTTTTTGCGCTTGAGCACTGAATGGGTTTATTATGAATCATTATTAAGATGGGCGAAAGACCTTTAAGTCTAGAGAAGTCTACTCTGAATAAAATCAGGCAATAGATGAAAATTCGGCTAATAGAATAAATGGGGTGTTCAACAAATCACTTGGTTAAGTTTGTCTGTACTCGGCATTTTAAGTACCTACTTTTTAGGTCCGTTTCAGACAGTTTTTGTTTTCAATCGACATTTCTAATTCCGCGCCTTTCTCGCTGATTTTTTTTTTGCATTTTTACCCTTTCTAAGGTTTGAAAGTTTCTATTTTCGGTATTTTGTACAAATGCAATTAAGAGCGTTTTATAGACAATTTTCGGTTAAATTAAATGTGTGTCTAAAATCTGTTAATGTTGAAAATGCAGATACGAGGATAAAAAAGCACTAAAATCTAATCGAATTTTACTGGACACGGCATTTTAAGTACTTTTTAGATCAAATTAGTTTCAAACAGTTTTTGTTTTTAATCGTGTTTTTAATTCCGGGTTTTTATCGCGATTTAATTTTTTGCCATTTTCATGTTCGCATCTTTCTTTTTTCCGTTCTTTGTAAAAATGCATTTAAGAGCGTTTATAGAGACAATTTTCCGTTAGATTAAATTTGTGTCTAAAATGTATGTTAATGTCGAAAATCCACATACGAAGATAAAAAAGGCACAAAAATCTAATCGAATTCTACTGGCCACGGTATTTTAAGTACTGTTTGGGTCAGATTCAGACAGTTTTTGTTTTTAATCGTCGTTTTAAAGGCGTTTTGAATTCCGCGTTTTCTTCGCGGTTTTAATTTTTTGCTATTTTGATGTTTGAATCTTTCTTTTTTCCGTATCTTGTAAAAATGTATTTAAGACCGTTTTTAGAGACAATTTTCGGTTAGATTAAATATGTGTCTAAAATATATGTTAGTGTCAAAAATGTAGATACAAGTATAAAAGAGGCACTGAAATCTAATCTACTTGACTCGGCATGTTAAGTACTTTTTCGCTCATTTTCAGACAGTTTTTGTTTTTGTTTTCAATCGTCGTTTTTCCATTCCGCGCTTTTTTCGCGGTTTAATTTTTTTCCCCATTTTGATGCTTGAAGCTTTCGCTTTTCCGTAGTTTGTAAAAACGCAATTGCGAGCGTTTCAGAGCCAATTTTCTGGAATTCTACTGGATTCAACACTTTAAGTACCTACTTTTAGGTCAATTTTAGACAATTTTTGTTTTAGCTCGTCATTCTTTTTGACCAAAATGTGTGCTTCAGCTATTCAAAAAAGAATAAATGGAAAATAAATAATTCCGATAAAAGAATAAATAAAAAAAAATCCTTTTGTGTTCATTTATTCAATAAAAAAATAAAGTTGTTGCCAATGTTTTCTAATTTTTTCAAATTGTTACCAAAAGTTACGTTTAAAAAGTTGTTCTGTATAACCTATTGAAATGTTGAAGCAAGCAAACAAGCAAACCCTTAAACACATTAGAAGAAAAGTTCAATTCCGTTCTTTTTTACTCAGTTCTTCATTTGATTCATCACCAACTCGGAATGTTAATGTTGAAAATAAAGTGATAACGATTTTGTCTAGTTTTTCGTCAGCTTTAATTGATTTTTGAGTGCTAAAACATTCGCCTTTTGGATTTTTCTTTATAAAACTTAGCAGAAGCAAATGATGACTTTTTCTCAGCAGAAAAACTCATCCGAATGAAGAAACGACAACAGTCGATTTACAAACGTTCGAAGCAATTTGAAAGCGCATTGAATGATCTGAAAAATGGGCTCTAAATTGTAAACATTTGCAGACAAACAAAGGAAATGTGAAAAAAGTAAATAACCTTTTTTATTTTACTTTGAATAGTCATATTTTTCTCTTGTTGATTAGTTTTGTTCAATATTGTTGCAAAAACAAAGAAGTCTGATGAAGGCGGAAATGCTGTATTTTTTATTAAATACAATTTCCTTTTGAGTTTCAATTTAAATGCAGTAAAATCCTGGAATTTTAGCGATATTTTCTAACTTTCAAGTCTAAACTTGACTGAAGTTTCTGTTTGGGCGTTTTCTCTGAAGGCGGGGTGTTTGCTAGTTAGTGAAAAATAATGAACAAACATATTTTTGGTTTTAACTGAAAATTGTCAAACAATTAAGTGTTAATATTTTTGCGTGTTTTTTATGTAAAAGAAGTCAATCGTGTTAAGAAAATTATGTTGCTTCTTACCCATTTGATCCATAAATTTCGGTTAAAATTGCCTGGATTTGACACTATCCAGTGTCTTCAAATGGTAGCAAATGAAAAAATCAAATGGAGCCAAGTCGGGGCAATGGTGCGTCCAGTTCATCTGAACTTAGCAAAATCCTAGTGAAGAAAAATTGCAATAAAACGCTTTGATTTGTTTTTCTATGCCAACTCCTTGTGCCAGACCTTTTGCATGAACATTTTGGTCCAGTCTTTCATATTGAAGTTGCAATTTTTTATTTGTGCACTATTGTTTTTTTACTCGTTTAAACTCGTTGTCCATTTCGGGAAACTTGGACAGGATGTTTTTGTGCTGGTTCTAGTGGCGGGCATTAAGTCGCAATCACGATGCGCCGCAATTCATAAACTATTCGAAGCCCGTGAAGAGAATCAGCAAGAATGCCTTCCTTCCTTGCAAGTGCCGAAATTTCGCCGTCCAAAAACCGTTAAACTTGCTTACTGACCGAATTAAAGTTTTTGTCTCCCGGCCAGATTATGTGCAAACTCACAATAAATCTAGCGGCGTCAAAGTTTGTATTCACACACAAAAGTAAAGATAAGGAGCGACCGTGGCAGCTCTATACCAAGAAAAGCACAAAAACAGGGGTAAATATATTTTGTTTGTGCAGACGGGGAGACATTGATAGCGAGACAAGGGTTGAGCTAAAGATATATGGAGTTGGACCGCCAAAGAGGGTAGTATTAATCACTGGCACTGAGAACGACTAATTAAAGACTTTTCCAGGACTTTGGAGTTTAACTACCTTAATGCCGTCTTACAGAGCTCCACTAAATGAGATCCAGTTAACTTAATTGAATATTATTAGCGCTCGGAATGTCTACGTTGAATTTCCGCACATCTACGATATGCCAGCAATCGCTGCTTTTGCATAGAAAACAACCAAAACAACGAAAAACTTTCCTTCAAATGTTTCATTCATACACTTGACTATATGGGGGGTTGTTCAAATGTGACTTGACTAAATTCATCACGTTTTCATTCAGTTGAGAAAAAATGTTCCGGGCAGCTTACAAGGCGCGCATTTTTTTCAGTTTTCTTCCAAACTCTTTTGTTGGGCGAAAACGGGACAACTAGAAGTTGTAAAATGTATGGGGGACTTTTTTACTAATAACACATAAAAATGTTAATATAAATAATAACACTGAAGATAAATTGACGATGGACCACTTGGAAATTGGACCCGATATTTTCCCATCAACATTGCCATTTCCACATCGAATTTGCGCCTCTCACCTCAGACCGAAACAAAGAAGTAAACGATCCTGACATTAATAGTGACCTATTCAAGCCGCAAAAAATGGGACTTTCTTGCAGGAAAAGGCGAATCGTCCTGTGCACAGGAATTAAAAATGTCGCCGCCCTAATTTATACATAGACTAATAACGCATGGCAGCTTTTTCACTTGTAAAATGTCAATCAAATGCCGTATCTGCTAATTTGCCCTATAAATAGTAAACAGTAAAGTGCTGCTCGCTGTCGGTTTGCCGGTGTTTATTTTTAAAAAGTTTTCCGACTTTCTGACCCGAGCATAATGCCGCTGCAGGCAGGAGAGTTTGCTCTGATCCAATATGTAAAACGCTTAAAAACTCCTGCAAATAATAATTAACCCAAGTGGGAATTATCCGTTTTAATTAAGTAAGGTGCCAATTTTCAGCCCAAGAGAAATCGCAGTAGCAGAAAGTACCAGCATTAAATTAAAACTAAATGCATCGCAATTTTTAATTTAATTTTTAAACTGTATGATGGTGAAATAAAGTAACGACATCGAGTAATTAAAAGCGCAGCTGGTCATCTTTTTTCCGTGACTTGTTGTCCATTTTGCATGTGTTGGCCGGCTTTTTTCCATGATTGTGTTCCAGATTTTGTTTCCATGCCAGTCTGAAGAACTTTCATGCAGCGAACTCTAAAAATTTCAGTTGGTTCAGTATGTTTTGCAATTTTTTTACAATATTCGACCCCAGTGGTCTCTGTGCATCGCCAACAATGAATTCGGCCCTTTAAAGTCCAGGAATAAATAACTCATGCTCTTTCTGGTTTTCAGGAAATCGCCGCCATCCTTATCAGCTTTGATCGGCACGCGGAGTGGCAGAGCAAAGAGGTCAAGATCAGGTCTGTATTTGGAATTAAGCCGAGTTTCCTATCTGGTTGACTTCTAGAAATGCTGGTTTAGTTGCCTGGATATTTGTTTTGATTATTTGCTTGTATGGAAAGTACATACAAAGTGTTGAGTTTTCTGCTACCTTTGTAAATGCAGAATCTGTGGTTAAAAATACATGCATGTAGTAGATAGTAGCGTCATTTTTCTGGAGGTATGCATATAGGAAGTAGTGAAAAAAACTGTTTGTGAACTCGCAATAAGAACTGTTTATCAATCTGTAATAAAAGGCGTGAGGAAATTCTGTCTTTTTTAAAGACAAACATTTTTTGAGCCGAAAAAACCAACACACAGTTTAAGAAAACATGAATCCGCCTCAACAATATAGAACAATCAAAAAATTAAAGTTTTTTCTGATGGAACTACAGCAAAATATTAAGCTTTGAAGAGCACAATTGAGAATATAACCACAAAGCGCGGAAATATCTATCGGTCTAGATAAATGGTTCAAAGCAAAATATGCTCTATTGTCATTCAGAAAAATTCACATGGACAAACGGTTGCCGTTGTAATTTTGAATGCAAAAATTATGCAATCGTAATGTTGCCATATAGAAATGTTGTCTACGATTAAGCCACTTTTGCAGTGTTGTATCTGATTTTTTAGTTTAAAAAATTGCTTAGTACCAAAGTTACCTCGCAACCCCTTAACGAGAATAACGACCGTTTTTCCCAACTTTGTGCAACTCCGCGTCAAAAAAGTTCCAGGTTTTTAAATTCTCTAAAACCGATTTTCCATAAGCAGTTCTGTTTTTTTTGCCAAATCTTTATATCGGTCAAAAAAAACGCAAAATGCTACATTTGATTATGTAAATTTTTTTTTAGTCCTGCATCCCGCCTATATTATTTTCTGTATCCAGCGCTCTATTTGGTTGCTGTTCGGCATAAACTGAAACATGCTTTTCCTGTTTTTATTTAGATCGTTGCACGTATGCATGGCTCTTGCTCGAAAACTCGAATATGTAGATACGATCCGAATATCGGGAATAACAAACATAACTCGTGGCGTTGCACTTTGCATTTCTTCGGCGCTTTGGCTTGAAAAAAACGTCCAAAATGTTGCAATGGCGGGTTTAATAAAGTTGCTCGAAAATTACTAAATGTGATCAACTCAAACGGTTGATGAAGTACGGGCCAAATAACTTCGCGTACATTTCAATTGATCTGAATCGATTTGAATTAAGTTTCACTCGTAATTACTCACCGATCAAATTAAAACTGGGGCCCGGAACGCCGCTGGCCCCCAAAATGCCATATAAATTTAATGCAAACCTATGCAAAACTTTAACTGTCTTCTATAACCGATTCGACCCAATGCGTTCCAATAGATTTCCGAACATTAATTCCTGGATTAATTTAGTGATTCAATTTGCTCGGTTAGTAGACGAACAGTGCAGGCGATAAGGGTTTGAAGAGGGGTTTCCGAATTATTTCGCGTAATTTTATATCAGTTTTCACGCAGAATTTATGCTCAGAGGCGCCCAAAAGAAAGCTGATTAACCTTTGGCAATGAAATGTTTTGTCAGGGTTCTTCTGAAGGTCCTGCGTTAGAATGTTTCTGTGGATGAATGATGAAGGAGCTCCGTTTTCAAACGAAGGTAAAACTATCGGCCATCTGAAATCTGCTCCAAAAAACCGCGGGTTTTCAACAAAAAAATCAATGATTTATGTAGTGTAAACCTCAGTCACGTCCTGTTAAGTGGTAGATTTTTATACTTTCGATATCGGTATGCATTGAGTCACACTTGGCGATTTTTTTAGAAATCTTGACCGTTAATAAAAAATCTTCAAGAGCCAAAGAAAGTTGGCAATCGATTCATGGTTCTAAAGGCTGCGTATGTTTGAAAAACCCCGAATAGCAAAGAAAGTTATGGGCCTTCAAAGGCCAAGGACTGAGTAAAGTGTCTGAAATTAGACTCCTGAATTAAATTGTCTTCATAAAATTCCAGGAAAACTAATCGAGGAAATTGAAGACAATCTAAGGAGGAGAGGAGAGTATTGATAAATTGAAACATTACAGAATTTTTATGGATTTTACTAGATTGGAATGGAAGCAAAAGCGATCATAAAAGTCAGTGAAATAAAATAAAAGAAAAAATTGCTATATGATGCGAAAGATATTTTTGATCTATAAATTTGACTGAAGACATGAATTAACACTTTTGCAACATTAATAGCAAACAAATTAATATTTATTACTAATATAGTTAAATTAAGGAACTCTGGTATGAAATCTGGTGCTCGCTCTAAAAAGGACTCCATGCATCGACCATTTTAATCTACTTTAAATGCACAACCGAAATTTGAAGAAAAAAGATTTCGAGGTAATAATGAGAAAATTTGGAAGATTTCCAGAAAACGAAGACGGTCTACACCGGATCTAGAAGAGTCTTGAATTTTCCTAATTCTTTAAATTATCTAAAAAGGCAGCAGCTTAAATATCTTCTATAAATCTATGTAAGATGAAATACCTGAGTAGCTGGGTTCAAAATAAAAAACACATTAAGAACGACAAACTAAAGCTAAAGTCGCTTGCAATAAATCGTCAACTATCGCAGCAGAAAATGGAATGGTAACGTGAGACTAGAGGAAAATTGAAGACGAAAAACCAACAATCTTCTATGCTAGTGTTGAAGATGCAAGCAAAGACAAAATATTGAGGAAGGAAAAGTCTGAAGTAATGCAGATAAGAAGAAATAAAGTCATCTTAAAATGTTTAAAGCGGTGATGCTGTGACCAAAACCTTGATAAAATAAAAAATAAGATTGGAAAGTAAAATGAAACACTTTAAGGTCCCGTAGTCGAATAATAAATTGAAAGAGATTGTTTGCAAAAAACTAACCGCCCTTTATAAGACATAAGAAAGGCAGAAGTTAAAGACGGAAAAAATTTCGGAATCTAAACGAAGCCTGGTATGATAAAGTTGAACGAATGGACGAAAAATTAAAGAAGGGAACGACTGATCAAGAAAAGATGAAAATGAACGAAATTTTTCTTAAACTTATGGAGACAGTCAATCTGCTGCCAAAACTATTGACTTGAAATTGACTAAAAACCCTCAAGTAACAAATTTCCAATCTAGTAGACTTTTCTATTAAATTCCAGGATTTTTTCAACGGACTGCTGGCTTTTGAGTGGAGAAGCAAAGTGTGGAAATTATGCATCAATTCACTTGATTTCCTCTCGCCCGATAACAAAAACAACAGTCTCCTGTATCCGAAAAATAATTCGATATGGTGGAAACAACATGAGTTATTTTATCGCAAAGCGAGTGTTGTTTTTGCCGGAAGTGTTTTTTGAATAACTAAATGTAGACTGAATATTTGTTAAGCAAATTGGAACTGAACCTCGTACCGAAAAGAGTCCCGAGGGCATCGTTCTGATTCGCCTGATAACACTTGCCTATGCTTTTTGCGACGGAAAGTAATATAGCATGAGTTCCCGCTAGTATTATTTATTTTATATCGCCAACCCTTTATCGTTAACGCAAACTGTACTAATTTCTTCTGGTAGGCCTCTGCAGAAGGACCTCATTTTGCACTAAATCCATATAAAAGATTTATTCGACTCTATGCGGCTAGCACTTTCCCCAAAATTAATTTTCTGTAGATTTGAATAGACAAAAGTAAAAATTCTAATTAATGCAGCAGTAAACTTCATGCTAATTCCACATCCATAGAGTTTCCTCAGTGTAAGTGGTGGACAATTATTTGCCGACGAGAAACAACCCCAAGCCCCAAAGCCCATCGTCATTATTTTGATTCGTTTGATAATACAATATGCCTTTCGCTAGCAAAAGTAATCTAAACAAAAGTTTTCGCTAGTATTATTTATTTTGTATTATTACACACGTTATGCCCGTGCACAGAGGCTCTTGAAACGCTCGGCTCTTTCAATGTGTTGTGTTTTCCTTTCCGCTTTGTGCTTTGCGTTCAGCTTCGTATATCTGATAATACTGTTTGAGCAGATATTAATGACTGGAATTTATTATTTCTGCTTTTTCGCATTGGGTCCAGCAAAGCGTTCAAGGAGCAACATGTCTTTTGCATAGCGAAGAAAGTAAAGGAAAATCGTATTTCCGGAAGTGACCTGAAAAATCCTATTTACACAATTTTCTTCGCGATAAGATATGTTTTGAAATTTGAATTGTATTTTTCTTTATAGAAAAGTTGCGATTTAAGTTTCCAATGGTGTCTTTTGGAAGAATCGTACAGAAGACTATTTAAAACAGGGTTAGTTAAAATCGCTGCTGGCCGCAGACGAAGATTGGTGACAAAAAACCAACAAGCTTTTATGTTTGCAATGAAGATGAAAGCAGAGAAACGATTGAGGACGGAAAATGTTGAAATAAGGACGATAAGACGATGCGAAGTCATTTTAAAACGCAGGAGCTAGCGAGGCTTTTGGATAAACCTGCTTAATTTATCTTGTGTATTTTTGGACTTTAGGGTCGAATAGTCGAGTGATAAATGAAGACAGGCAGAAGATTGTTCACAAAAACTAGCACAAAAAATTGAGGAACGACTGTACGTAAAAAGCTAGAGAAATGTATTTAAGCAAAAACTGTTTAAGAAAACCATCAGGCTCCCATGCCGGCCTATAATAAAGATGAAGAAATCGGCGAGAAATTAAGGAAAGAAGACTATTCGAGAAAAGATGAAAACGAAATAAACGTATTTAAAACTTACGAAGATAGTGAATCTATTGCCAAAAACTATTGACTTCGTGACAACTCTCATCCCATCAAGCAGTTAAATTGTCGAAAAAACCAAAAACCATAAGAAAACCGACTTCATTTTTTTTGTAGAAAAACTGCGATTTAAGGTTCCAAACATTTCTAATTGTTTTCAGACGTCAGGAAGATCCAGAGAACAGTTCTCTATGCCTATAAGAAAGATGCAGAAATAGGCAAAAAATTGAAGTAAGAAACGAAAGAATTAAGGACGACAAAAATTCACCTAATCGAATACTGCTTAAGAAAAAACATCAGGCTCCCATGCCTGTCTATAATAAAGATGAAGGTATAGACGAAAAATTAGCGAAATAAACCAATCGTTAAATAAATTTAACTAAAACTTATGAAAATAGTGGATGAGTTGCTAAAAAAAATCGATAGACCAAAAACGTTTTTCCTATGGTAAGCCGATCGAATTTTTCTTCGTAGAAAAACTGCGAATTAACTTTCCAAGCAAATCTTATCGCAAAGAAGGCATATAAAATGGAACTTTCCATGTCAAACTCAATTGGCTTGATTTTCTCAAAAACTCCGGTTTTCCGATCAAAAAAAAAATTCTGATTTTCTCTAATAGACGATTCAATCGAAACGTTCGCCCAAAACGGTGAAATTTACGCAACCAAACGCTTCCGAATTGATTTTTGCGTGACCTACAATATGCTAATGGTTCATCCAGCAGTTTTATCTGAAACACCCAACCACAACCGGGTTATAAATTGCGAAGCAGCTGCGTTAACATACTGTGTCCTTAATATGAGGCGTAATTTTCCTAAACCAAATAATCCACTGTTATAATGCGTTAAAAATCCATCAATATAAGTGAAACTGTAAAAAATTGAAGCGTAACGCGAAGTTGTTAATACTGGTTAGACTTCAATTGCTACTTGGGTGCATTGGGTTGAACCACAAGAAGAAGTAAACAGGTTTTGGTCACGACTTTTTCACTTTAAGATCAATTTGTTTCGTCCTCAATGTTTGTCTGAGTTTATCTTCTTTATAGTTGCCAATTTTTTATGTGTTCTATCTTACGAGTTGTTCTAGTATTTTCGCCTGTGGTCAGTCTAACAATGGTCGTCCAGTGATCTTCCTACGTATCTTCAACCCCGTCTTTTCTAGTTGTTATCAACACTTTCACGGTTTCTTTCTTCAAAGACTTGGTTCAAATGTTGTTATTCTCCCGGATTGAGCTTTTAAGGCTTTTCTAGCTGCTTTATTCGGTTGCTTCTATGCTTCGACTTCAACATTTCCATATCCTAACTTTTCCGCAAAAAAGTTTCACCTCTTTTTTGCTGTCGAATAATTTTTGAATTTAGGCTAAAGTTTCTGTGGAAAGTCCTCGGTTTCCGCAACAAAACTACACCATCCGCGTAGCCTACGGTCTTAATCTTCTCATTTTCGTTAGATTTCTTCTGAATTTCGGCTCATCTTTTACAGTTTACAGTAAGAGTTTTCTGTATTTATAATCATAATGCTTGAGGCGACCAATTTTATTCGCAATTTCTTTAGCCGCCTGAAAAAATATTTTGATATTTTTTAATGCTGCTTAAACGCGATTCATTGTTGTGAGTAGTTGGAAGCCTGTTGAACACTATCCAGTCCTCTGGAAGTATTAATGAATGAAAAAGACTTCACGAGTCAGTCACTTTGCTGTATTTTGCTGCTCGTTTTCATCTTTCTATCATCTTGAGCTTTTGGTTTGGTTTGATCATTAAGTCATATGATTGCATGTTTTGCATGATACAATCAAACATTGAATGCAAACTTCCTTTTTTCGATTGACTTTGTTCTCTTAGTTTTTAACATCTAAATCACTGTATATTTTATTCTCCTTTGTATCTGTTTACCGTTTCATTTATCCTCTATTTCTTGACAAAACAATGGGAATTTTCTAGTTGTGCTTGCTAATCGTTTTTGAAATATTGCTGTATTTGTTTGTGCGTCTTTTCACGCCTGTGCAAGCTTCAGAAAAATTATTGTTTGGGTCTCTCAAGGCTGATTCTTAGCTTCAGAAGAGCTCAGAACAGAGAATGATTGGTGTATCTGACCAGGAACAACGATTCAATTGCCGTTTTTTATCGCGAAAATTAACCAACTTTTTGCTTTTTATCTTTCGGCTTCAAAATGAACATTCGCAAAATCGTTGCTAATATTTCAGCCGCTGTTCTTTCAAGATATTTTAATGTTTCCGAAAAAACAAGCTTCAGTTTTTCATGAGTCACTTGTGAATTTCAAACAACACACTAATTCTATGTAGAGACAATTATTAGCCATTCCTTGTCAGGTTGGAAGGGAAAAATCAAATATTATTCCGTTTCGTGGATAGCAATTGTCCCAAATGAACTTATCAAACCTGTTCCAAGTGGCACTGAAATGGGCTACACAAATGCAATGAAGCCTGCATAAATAGATATTTGCATGCAAGCCTGTTGACGTATATTAACAATAGTATTATTTGAGAAAACATGTGTGCTATTCATTAATTTCAGCACCGAATACACATAGAGACTATATGGGCTTGCAGCGAAACAGCGACTCGCCTGCTTGACAAAAATACTTGTTTATTCACGAACTACACACAACTTAATTTAAATTGTTTGATTTTCATTCTGTTTCCAATTTGCTACACAAATACAACAAACTGTGGATAGAAAGTTGCCACAACGTCCACAGTTTCGGCAGCTGATGCAGAAAATGATTTTCCTTTGGGGCCGTCCCAATTCTTACCTAGAATTCAAAGTTTTGTGGGTTTGCAAAAGGAGAAGCTGAAAAACCGAAACTTTATTGTTGTTTTTGCTGTGTTCTTCTATAAAATTAATTAGTGTGTTTTTGCAGGCCGAAAAGTGGTTCCATGTTGTTGTACAGCAGGAAAAAGGTGCGCTACCGTCGAGACGGATACTGCTGGAAAAAGCGCAAAGATGGAAAAACGACCAGAGAAGACCACATGAAACTCAAAGTGCAGGGAACAGAGGTAAATTACGCCAACACCAAAACGGTCCATTTCGTTGAATCCAAAGCCGAAAAAAGCGGGCAAACGGCGCGAAAAGCGAAAAATAATATTTGTTTCGCCTCGCAGCAAAACTAATTCCGCTTTATTTCCTTTTTTCGTGCCTCGGCGCCGTTAAGACGGGGTAATTGTTTGGGTTAATTAACCGGCGTTTAAAAACATTAATCTTTGCTTAAATTGCACAGATTTCGGATATAAAAATGATTCGGAAAAAAGGCGTTTTGCTAAGCGCGGTGAAACTGTTTAATGTGTTTCTTCTAGCGCTAATGGATCAGTGAGATAAAGTGGGCCAGGTGCCACTTTGCCTTATTAAAGCCCCATTAATTGCGTAAAAGGGAGCCGATCTTTCTCTTCTTCTGTTCACTGAGTGGAAGATTTAATAACAAAGACCGCAATTATTTCCTGTTTAATTCGGTTCTTTAACTTCAGGTTGTTTCCGGGTTTCTTCGTTGTTGTTCGTTTTCTTTCGCCCCTATTCTGCTTCACTTTTTTATTTCTTCCACTTTGCTACATTTTGCTTTCGAACCAAATTGTCATTCGTTCCTTCACTCATCCATTCATTCTCGTGAGTGAACTATTTACATGTTTAATTTAGTTCGTTAACATCAGGTTGTTTCCCGGTTCCTTTGCCAATCTTTGACTTTCTTCTTCGTTGTCGTTCATTTTCTTTCGCCCTTATTCTAGTTCATTTTGTCATTTCTTTCACTCCCAGTTTTTCTGATACATTCGCTTTTGAGCCAAATTGTCAGCGACAACATCTTTGCCGTGATTTATCGTCAAAGCCCCCAAAACGAACATTTTTGCTAATTCAGAGCGTTTAATTAGCTAATCGTTATAATGTCGGACCGGCTCGCTTTTGGGAAAGGCTCACCCTAAATTGGCCATCGTAAAGATAATCCAATTAAGATTAGCACACTCTTTTGTTGAGAGCGAACAGCTCCGATAATTAACAGCAAAATCTGCATTTATCAAGAGGTTTAGAGAAAAAATAACTGAGTTGCACTAAACACCTGAAGCTCCGCTGTCCAATTATTATGCGAACCATTTGGGCAAAGCTTTAAAATCCCGATACAAATTACTGGGTTGGAAAATTGAATAGCATTTTTACAAACGCTTCGGCCCGTTTGTCCCATCGCAATCCCCGACAACAGAAATTGGACAAACTGTCCTATCAATTGAATTTGTCTAATGTGAAGCGCCCCGAATAAAACCTTTTACCACCCTTAGATTCCCAGAAAAAGATAAAATGTTCCTCTTTAATTCGGTTTAATTCAACAGCCTGAATGGTTACGTTTTCCGTTGGACAGCTCTAAAGCACTCAATTCAGTCATTCGGTTTCGAGTGGCGGAGCTTTCGCACTGACGTTATCGAACGCTCTAATTAATGATAATCTTGGGCTTTTTCCAGTCGATCCCAATGAGGAGCTTTTTATCGCCACTGTTTTTCGAGCCATTGGCTGAAGAAATTCACTGGACCTTATCGAACTGGCTGTTGATCAAACTAATGTCTGTGTCCTATTTTTTCAACAGTTTACTCCCTAAACCGTCTCAAAATATATTTTCTGTGTTATCAACTTTTTTTCTCAAGATCTATCGTTTAAAGAGTTAAGTGGTTATGTGGGATGCCGAGCAAAAAAGCTCAGTAACTTTGAACCCCGGCGAAGTCTAAACTTAGCTCTTCAAAAACCATACGAATTGAGGTTCGGAGGAAAGCAAAACGTAAAAAAGTTTTCCAATTGGAAGTTAAAAATTTACATTAGTTTGAAAATGCAGACCCAGTCTAGAAAACGTGTGTTTTAAAATCGCTTATAGACTTGGAAAAGCCGATTTTGATCACTGTGTGACACGACCTCGAACTCTTCATAAGCACCGAAAATTCGAAGAATCTTCGGAAAGTTCAGCAGCAATTGAAGATGCTTTTAATGTATTTAATTTTCTGAAATTTGTTTCTTTAATCGTGACTGACTATTCTGTAAGCATTCGGTATTTAATTTTGTTTAAAACTCATAAAATTTCATTCTTAGTTGTAAAATATTCTAAAGCGATTCCATCCAGTTCTTACATCATGCATGTGTAAATTCTTTTTGCAGTTTTTGTATTTTTATTTATTAATGATTTCAGTTTAGCAAGTGCTCGATTTTTCACATTTTTTCTCCTCGTTGATCCATTTGCCATTGCTTTTTAAAATAAGTTTACGTGGGATTGGAGCAAGTTAAATTGTCATGCAATAAAAAAAATAAATAGTAACAAAGCGATGGAAAAGAGTAAGCAATACATGAAGATATTAACAATAATCATTGCAAAATAACACTGGATAAAAGTGGAAAAAATGCATAGTCTTTCGGATCTAATGAAACTTGGAAGCCTAATAAGATATTGTTTCTTCCTGGCCCATATTTACCTACTATTTTTCATTTCTAAGAAAATACTGTTTGTTTTTAAGTGTTGTGCTATCATTAACTTAAACTTTACAGTTTTGTTTCTTCACTTTTTCTGTACATTTCGTATTTTTCGACTTAGGCAACAATAAAATAGACAAATAACGGATGAAAGAATCAGACAATTCAATTCAACGGAAATTAATTCAAAAAGATTTCCATTTTCAACCGGGCTAAGGCTGTTAAGGTTTTAAGGCTTGTCTATTTTATTGACCTTTGATTTGAATTGTTTCATTCTTCCCTTCTGTATTCATTTTTTGTTTCTATTTATTTTATGGTTGGACAAAATTGTTGCCTTAGAACATTACGAAATGTGCATCAAAACTGAAGAACCAAAAGGTTCAAAGACAATTTCGTGCAACAATAAAATAAATAGGCAAAATTACAAACAGGAGAGAAGAATCAAGCAATTCAAAGGGAGGGTCACCCAAAATAGTCAAGCTTAAAAAAGCCCGCCTGCGTATAGTTGAAAATTGCCAAAGGCTTGATTTTCTTAGAATTTTCAAGGCATTAAACTGTTTAAGTTAATGCTAAACTCTTGTGAAAATCGTCTAGGTACATGATAAAGAGAAAATAAGTTTTATTGAGGATGCCAGGAAAAGATCCTTCCATTTTTTATGGCTAGAAAATATGGTTTGAATAATCCGCTTCCTGTGCTCACTTCTCTCCACTTTTGCCAAAGTGTCTTATAATAAATGGTTTAAAAATTCCCTGCATCGCCAGCAGCAAATATTTTTTAAACATTCAGTTTTGGGACCCTTCTTTGGTCGATATAAGTAAGCCCCGTTTGCCTTCTCCGTCTCATTTCTGTTTAAATAATGTTGTTTTAACGCCCTAAAGATATCGGATTAGGTTCAAAACGCTCAATCTTACACCAGAATTTCTATTACATTTTTACAGACTTAAAACGCGTTTTGTCCGAATTTACGTATAAAATTGACGATGTGAACTTTGGCAATTGTTAAAAACACTTTTTAAAACCCAGGACAGCAAACATCAAATAGCACAACTTTAATGCTAAAAATTGAATCCGGCTTCTATTTTTCAGTGCATCTATGGTTGTTACGTGCACTCGGCAATTCTGCCAACGTTTCACCGCAGATGTTACTGGCTTCTTCAGGTAGTATGTCAATTTTTCAATTTCTATTCAATTTACTGAGGACTAATTGCGGAACTTTTGAAACCACTAAAGAAACAATCAAATTTTCCTAGTATTAGTCCGTAGTGAATCGCCGCTAGATAACAAAATAAATGTGGAAATTCACTTTGATTTGTTTTGGTTGAAGAATCCGGACATTGTCCTTGTCCACTACCTGAACGTCCCGTATCCGGACGACAACAAACTGGCTGTGATAACACCGAACTTGGCTCTATGGGCGGATAAGAAAGAGTGGACTAAGGACGAGTTGGTGTCGCAATTGAAACCGATGTTTTTTAGTGAAGATGAACCCGACCTGAACAACGAACTGGAAATATCGGTAGGCGAAGATTTCCACTCAAGAGTTGCCGCTCAAGATTAAAAACCCTCAGCGTGAATGTTTTTTTACAGAATTTTAAATTGCAGACCGCCGAGACGGTGGAAGCGATCGTAAGCCAGCTAATGGAAAAACAACGAGTGGCTAGACAAGCAGCTTTAGTACGTACGAGATTAACCGGCATGGATCGTAAATAAAAGAAGGCAATCTATTCCAGGTGAAACAGTTGGAATGCGGCTGTCCAGACTCCACTTGTGCCGATGGAAAAAGCTGTTCGCATCCAATGCGCAGGATAACATCGGCCAAGTCCGGCTCTCCTCTCCCCAGCTCCAGTACAAATTCCAGAAATTCCAGTTCAGAAAGCAACAATCAGGCAATGATTCAGCACGGTGTTTCCAACTGTGCATCTAAACCCTCGTTCCCGATTATCCAGGTGTCTTCTACGACCGGCTCTGGATCGCTTCACGTCAACAACCACCACAGCACCCCAAGAGTGTATTCCAGAGACCGAAGCTCCCAGTTATCCGCGCAAAATGCCAGTAATTGCTCATCCAGTTCCAGCAATACTCCTCCTCTGGTTTTGAGTTTGTCGCAAATTCAAGGTAGTGGAGGCCTCCTGATCCTCAACAGCAATACCAATAGTACAAATCATCAAAACCTGGTCAATCCGGTGTCGGTGGCCAACTTCATGACATGCAACACCAACCGAGGGATAATCAAAGAACAGCGAACAAGGTAGTAAGGATCAAAGTGGCTTCGAGTGCTTTTAGCAACGAGATATTTCCTCCCAAAGCCATCTAGTGCTCAAGCAGGAAGTAATGGATACGACCAGCACGTCTTCGTGTCTGCACGCGGGCAACAGCAAGCAAGAGGCGAAAAACAAACCGCCAACGGAGAGCAAAATGGAGATAAGCGAAAACGTCCGACAATCATTTTTCGATGGCAATATTTACGGGAACGCCACTGTTCAGCAACATCCGCAATCCAGGAACAACATGTAAGGCTCCAAACCAGCTTCTGTCCATTTTCACTAACCTATTAAACGGAATCTTTCTCCTGCGGATGGTTCTTAGACGGTCCATTTTCAGATCTCAGTCCCAAAGTGAAGTGGTGATGTCCAGTGCGCCTTCCACTCCTTCCAAAATGATGGACACTGGCCCGGACGATTCCAACAATACAGACTTCAAGCAACATCAGAATTATTGCGAAAACACCGTGGTTTTGCTTGGTATGTTGTGTTTTTTGGGTCAGTTTCAGTGCCAATCAAGGCACATTCCCCTGTTATTTGCGTAGGTACTGACTCCAACGGAACGCTGGTAAGCAAGAGCGACGGTTCCTCAATAATAAACCGGGGATTTTTCAACGAAACTCTGGATCTGTCGCAAGAGGACATTCAGAGAACGCTTTCAGCCAACATGCCCATGTGTTCCAACGAGCTGGAGAACCACCACCCCACTCATCCCTCGGAACCGAACACTGCCACCCAGCAGATCAAGAAGCAAACTGAACCTGCTAATCTACCAGGTGAGTTCAGTTCCATTTCAGCCCCAACAGGAAAGTTGCGGACCAACAGAAGTGACGATAATTTCGTCCGAATTCGTACGAATCATTTCGGATCTAGTGGACGAGCTTTTCTTTTTCTGACGGAAGCAGTTCGGACGAAAACGCATCCAGCGGCCCACATACTACACACTATTATACCGGGAGTCAATTTGAAAACTTCTCACCCTTAATATCTTTCTTGTAGTTAAAAATATGAAAAATCGGAAAGACCCGTCAATTTTATTCGTAAGGGGGACACTTTAAATGAATATTTTTAGCCTCCTTGTTTCAACCCCTTAGGAGGGGTAGATGTCACCCTGAGAATCTTCAATGGGAGGGGGGGCCAAGTGGTATATCGTTTTAAAGGGCGTTCAATTCTCTTTATATTCGTTACTACTTTGATGCTTTTTGTCTAGAGGTTTTCAAATAATTGCGTTTCAAAGCTACAGAAACAATTAAATTTGCCTGCATTGAGATTTTGCTTTTCAGATTAGTGTTTGAACAAAAATTATGCCATTGGGTCTCCCTATGGGCTAAATGATTAGAATATTCGGTTACCCCGTGAAAACCCTTGCATAACAGGAAGAAAATCTAGTTTAAACAACTAATTTCAGATTTATTGATTATTTTACAATAAAACCCATAGAATCTACTTACGCATTATCTTATAAGTTGTTCAAAACGTTGTCTATTTTCAAAACAATAATAAAGTATATTTTCGAACTCTTCCTAACATTGATAAGATATTCCCGGTTAGATCGATTGGCAGTAGGGGATCAATTGAATGGCCTCCAAGATCACCGGATTGAACACCCTTAGACTTTTTTTTTGGGGACATCTTAAGTCCATTGTTTATCAAACACAACCTGCTGATATTGATTATCTTAAAAGTCGAATTGTAGCAGAATGTCTATCAATTCCCGGTGAAGTTTTCTGGAATGTTAGGGAAGAGTTCCAAAACAGACTTCACGAACACACGAACGGCCCATAAACTACACACTATTATATTTACACGACTGGACTAATGGAAATTTAAGATTAGCGAGCGGTCGTGTCCGAGCGAGAGAGAACCGTGCACTTGTCTTTATACAGGGTTATTCACGCTATACGGCACGGAAGTTTGCGGCTAAACCGTTTGATTTTTAAAAAGTATTATTTTATGAATTGTCCGACGCCTACCGAGCGCACATTTTAAAAATATTTTTGTAATGTACAGGGTGTCCCAAAGGCTCTAATAAGGTATCAAAGTTGCGTTTTTTTAAATGGAATATCCTGGATATTATTGCATTTTTGGATACTTTAGAACTATTTAAGTTATGTAAGCGTAATTTATAGTGAAGTGCAACAAAATATAATATTTTATATCCCAATGATAGTAAAGTTACCATGTTATACAGGGTGTCCACAAATTTAAACTAATCAAATAAGAACTTTAAGTGGCTCTAACTTGATTAATTTAAATACAACCCCATATTTT